GAGGGTGGGATGTTTCAAGAGAACAGCATCGAAACATGTATATTATCTAGGGTGAAACAGATCACCAGCCCAGGTTGGATGCATGAGACAAGTGCTCAGGCCTGGTGCACCAAGAAGACCCAGAGGGATCGGGTGGAGAGGGAGGTGGGAGGGGGGATCGGGATGGGGAGTACATGTATATCCATGGCTGATACATGTCAATGTATGACAAAAACCACTACAATATTGTAAAGTAATTAGCTTCCAACTAATAAAAAATAAAAAAAAAGAAAATTGGAAATATCAAAGGAACATTTCATCCAAAGATGGGCACAATAAAGAACAGAAATGGTAAAGACCTAATAGAAGCTGAAGTGATCAAGAAGTGATGGAAAGAATACACAGAAGAACTGTACAAAAAGGATCTTAATGACCCAGATCTTAATAACCACAATGGTGTAGTCTCTCACTCAGAGCCATATATTTTGGAGTGTGAAGTCAAGTGGGCCTTAGGAAGCACTCCTGCCAATAAAGTTAGGGGATGTGATAGAATTTCAGCAGAGCTATTTAAAATCCTAAATGATGATACTATTAAAGTGCTGTACTCAATATATCAGCAAATTTGGAAAATGAAGCAGTGGCCACAGGACTGGAAAAGGTCAATCCTCTAAGTCCCAAGAAGGGCAGTACTAAAGAATGTTCAAACCACTGGACAATTACACTCATCTCCCATGCTAGTAAGGTTATGCTCAAAATACTCCAAGCTAGGCTTCAGCATTATGTGAACTGAGAACTTCCAGATGTTCAAGCTGGGTTTAGAAAAGGCAGAGGAGCAAAAGATCAAATTGCCAACATTCACTGAATCAAAGAGAAAGTAAGGGAATTCCAGAAAAACATCTACCTCTGTTTCATTGACTATGCCAAAGTATTAAAAAACTAAGATAATGGTATCCAGTCCCATTATTCACAGCAAGTAAGAAGGGGAGAAGGTGGGAGCAGTGACAGATTTCCTCTTCTTGGGCTCAATAATCACTGCAGATGGTGACTGCAGCCATGAAATTAAAAGATGATTGCTTCTTGGCAGGGAAGCCATGGTGAGCCTAGACAGTGTGTTAAAAATCAGACATCACTTTGCTGACAAAGGTCGGTAGAGTCAAGATTAAGGTGTTTCCAGTAGTCAGGCACAGATGTGAAAGCTGGACAATAAAGAAGGCAGAGAACTGAAGAATTGATGCTTTTGAACTGTGGTGCTGGAGAAGACTCTTGAGAGTCCCTTGGAAAGCAAGGAGATCAAATTAGTCAATCTTGAAGAAAATCAACCTTGAATACTCTTTGGAAGGACTGATGTTGAAGCTGAAGTTCCAACACTTTGGCCACTTGACACGAACAGCCAACTCACTGGAAAAGACCCTGATGTTGGTAAAGATTGAAGACAGAAGAGGGTGACAGAGGATGAGATGGTTAGATGGCATCACTGATTCAATCAACATTAACTTGGCTCAACTATGGAAGATGGTGAGGGACAGGGAATCTGGGCGTGCTGCACGAAGAGTCATACACGACTTGGCGACTAAACAACAACACCACCACCACCACACATAGTTATACTTCTCAGCCATAAAAAAGATTGAAAATCTACCATTTGCAGCAACATGGATGGACTTAGAGAATATTATGCTCAGTGAAATAAGTCAGACAGAGAAAGACAAATATCATATAATATCACTTGTATGTGGAATATATAAAAATGATATAAAGGAACTTATTTACAAAACAGAAACATACACACAGGCTTTGAAAACAAACTTACAGTTATCAAAGGGGGAAGGGGGAGATAAATTAGGAGTTTGGGATCAACAGATGAAAGGTTGTTGCTGAGCCATGAAAGACACTGGAATTCTTGGCCTCCAGAGGAGAGGAATTCAATCCAGGGCCAGTGACAAGGCTTGATCGCTCAGAGCTTTTGTGTGCTGTTTTACTAAAGTATAAAAGAGATAGAGAAAGCTTCTGACATAGACATCAGAAGCGGGCAGAAAGAGTGCCCCTCTGCTAGCCTTTAGCAGTATGTTATATACCTGTCAGCAAGCAGTTAAATAGAGAAAGGAAATGTATCAAAACTCAAGAGTGGCACCAGGCCCCTCACCCACAACATACATTTTGAGATAACACTGGCACAAGGTGAGTCATCCTGGGCATAAAATGATTGACATGAATCTTGAAGAAAGGCAGGTTTCCAAGTAAATATATAGTTTCATTAACATAGATTAGGAGAACAATATATGAGTAAAACATACTGGTTTGCTGAACCATTATCAGTTCTGAGGTACTGAGTCTTAAGAAAGACAGAGTCTAGAGTAAATACATAGATCAGTAACATACCTTAAGGAAACCATTTCCATAAGAAAAAAGCATTGGTTAGCTCAAGGTTGGAGAAAAGTTAAGATTAGGTGGAACCAGGTGCCATCATGGCAACACAAAATTTTAAGAGAACCCTCCTTTTAATTTTGTATAGAGAAGGGAAAATTTCCTTCTGCCACTTAAGAGAGAGAGAAAAAATATCTGACATTTGCAGCCTATTTCCTCCATTTGTAGACTCCTGGCCTTTCTGCCTGCTACCCTCTCATAGATACACACTACTATATATAAAGTAGATAACCAACAAGGACCTATAGCACAGGGAACTATGTTGAAATATGTTCAATATCTATAACGGAACCAATTTCGCTGTACACCTAAAACCTACACACATAATAATTCAAGTATACATCAATAAAATGGTATTCTTCCTGTCTTTAGATTTGAAAGGGGTTGACTGTAATCTATCTCGGCATGATTTCTTTAGGTTTATACTATTTATAACTCACTCAGCTTCCCTGGTGGCTCAGCTGGTAAAGAATGCACCTGCAATGTGGGAGACCTGGGTTCGATCCCTGGGTTGGGTAGATCCCCTGGAGAAAGGAAAGGCTACCCACTCCAGTACTCTGGCCTGGAGAATTCCATGGACTGTATAGTCCATGGGTTGCAAAGAGTCAGGCATGACTGAGCAACTTTCACTTTCACTTTGGGGCTTCCCTGATAGCTCAGTTGGTAAAGAATCCACTTGCAATGTAGGAGACCCCAGTTCGACTCCAGGGTCAGGAAGATACACTGGAGAAGGGATAGGTTACCTACTCCAGTATTCTTGGTCTTCCCTTGTAGCTCAGCAGGTAAAGAATCTGCCTGCAATGCAGGAGACCTGGGTTTGATCCGTGGGTTAGGAAGATCCCCTGGAGATGGGAAAGGATACCCACTCTAGTATTCTGGCCTAGAGAATTTCACAGACTGTATAGTCCATGCAGTTGCAAAGAGTCGGACACGACTGAGCAACTTTCACTTTCAGCTTCTTGACCCTGTGAGCTTGTTTTTGCCAAATTTGAGAATATTTAAACAATTATTTCTTTAAGTAATTCTCTTCTTCTGAGACTGATTTACACAAATATTAGATCTTTTACTATAATTCCACTGATCACTGTTCATTTTTCAGTATTTTCTGTTACTGAGACTAGATAATTTCTGTTTCTCTTTCTCTAGGTTCAAAATTATTTTCTCTGCTGTCTCCAATCTGCAGTTTAACCCATCCTTTGTGTATTTTATTTCAGTTATTGTATCTCTTAATTCTTAATTTCTATTTATTCTTCTTTGTATATTAGATCTCTTTGCTAAGACTTTCTGTTTTTAATTTGCATTAAGAATGTTCAGGGAATTCCCTAGCAGTCCAGTGGTTAGTACTTGATGCTTTCACTGCCAAGGGCCTGGATTCAGTCCCTGGTTGGGGAAATAAGATCCCACAAGCCAAGCAGCGTGGCTAAAAATTAAAAAAAATAGAAAGAAGAAAAACAATGTTCAAAATTGTTTGTTAAAGCATTTCTCTCTCATGGCTGCTCTAAAATCCTTAGCAGGTAATTTAATCAGTTGTGTTACAATGATTTCATTTTCTATTGATAACACAAATCTATTGATTTTCTTTACTGAGTTTGAAATCCTTCTGGTTCTCGGTATAATGAGGGATTTTCAATTCAAAACTTGATATTTTGGGTATCATTTTAAGAGACTCTGGATCTTATTTAAATTTTGTGTTTCAGCAGGTCTTTTCTGTTGACACTCTGGTGGGTGAAGGAGGATGCTGTCTCTTTACTGCCAAGTGGGAGTAGAAGTCCTAGCTTCCCACCTGGCTATGTCTGTCACCTCCACAGCAGGTGTAGGTGGCATACCTTCTTATAGTATGGCAAAGGTAGAATTCCAGGTTCTTCATTTGGCCTTTGTTGGTTGGGGCAAGAGTAGGTTATAGTTTTTCTATAGTGTCTGGCTGGAGTAGAATGGTTATATCTAAACACCTTCTGTATTGCTAGGTTGTTCCTTTGGGTACTTTGGCTAGAAAAAACCAAAATACTTGGTTTTCTTGGTCTGTAGCTGTTGGAATTTCTGGGCTATGAGCTTGTCCTGTACCCAGCAAGGGATATGTAAAACACAGGGAAAACCCAGAGAACTCACTACTGCTTCACTCCTTGGAGCCCAAGGCTCTTAGCCAATCTGTCACCTCTTCACCTTCTAGAGCATCTTGTGCTTTTTAATATAGCAGGAGGAATAGGTAAAAATACATCTACTCCATCTTCCCATAAGCAAAAATCTAGTTGGCTCTTTTGAATGTACTAATTTGACCATATTACTCTGGAGCTTAACACACCTCAATGGCTCTAATTACCTACAAGATCAAATCTCAAAACAAAAACCACACTGAGGAGGAGAGACCATATCAGATACATCTCCACATTCCCGAAGTTCAGCATGGATAAGTAAAAGAATGCTTAACGATTAAAGAATTTGGGCTTAAGTTAATGTATTTCCCATATCACTATGTATTCTGGTGAATTATGCACTTTATCAAAGACTGTTCCACAGCCAGAAGTATGACGTGCTTGCATAGACATTTTTGTTCTGAGTCAAAGCTTTCAGAGAACTGTCAAAGCTAGAACCACATTTACCTTCTACAGGTAGCCGCCGCCGTATGGCCAGGCGTTCCATTTTTCGCTGTGTCTCTGCCAGACTGAAAAGAACCCCGTATACATATTGACGAGCTGACCGGAACAGGATTGCAGCTGGAGGAAGCTCCATGTTACACTCATCTTCAATACATACAGGAATCTTAATCTCACCCTAAAAAGGAAATGGTTCAGGACAAAGGAGAAAATGAGTTACCTCAAGGTTTGGAATTGAGCTGAGAAGAACAAGTAATGAACTGTAGCCTAGCTATTAAATTTTCTACTTTTATTTAGAAAAGATTTCAGACTAAAAAGAAGTTGTAAAAGCCCAGCTGAGTATTAGACAGCTTAGATGCCCATCAGCAGACGAATGGATAAGGAAGCTATGGTACATATACACAATGGAATATTACTCAGCCATTAAAAAGAATTCATTTGAATCAGTTCTAATGAGATGGATGAAACTGGAGCCCATTATACAGAGTGAAGTAAGCCAGAAAGATAAAGACCAATACAGTATACTAAGGCATATATATGGAATTTAAAAAGATGGTAACAATAACCCAATATGCAAAACAGAAAAAGCTATTCCATTTTTAAAGTTTCTGCTATGATTAACTACAGCTGACTAAATGGGGAAAATTCATCTTAGACATCCTGCTGGGAAATGGATTTGTACGGTAAGGCTAGAGGAGGGGAATAGCTCAGTAGAAGGACAGGGAGAGGTAATGACCAAGGCTATAATGCCTCTTCTTAAGAGTGTGTTCATCCATAGACCAGAGTTTACACATGTGGTTCACTGTCTTCTTCAAAACCTCACAATTACCCTTCTCCTCTAGGTCTCATTTCCTGCACAGTCCCATCTTTTGCTGGTCTCACCTCACTAGAGACCCTTGACACATGAAGGGCCCTAGCACACTTGGTCTCCTTTGATCTCCTTTCAGATACAAAGATCAGACTTTTCTCTGGTAACCTACAGTCCTAGGAAGTTGAAATACAGTGTTGAGAGCAGGGAGGTAGGTAAGTGTCGATGTGTTCTCTTACCTTAGTGAGGACATGGTAGATATATGGATACATAAGACCCCTTCGATGTCTGTGTTCAGCAACCCTCAAGACTTCTGGAGCTACTGGAGGTAAGGGTGGAATGGTGATGTCCATGTGGTTCCTTGTAGACATAGATAGCAGAGATGGGATGTGGGGCTCACCATCACCCAGGCTGGCATTTGAAACTCCAGCATTAATGGGCTCTACCCAAGACCCTCTGTCACCATTTGGATCCTCCCAACCAGGCTGCTGCTGAAGTGTTTCTGTGATGCGACTAAAAGGTTTAAAAAGATAAGTGTGGAAGACAGAAAGGAGGTTAGTAAAGATATTTCAACTCAAGATGTCTATTCTGATTACAAGGAATCTTACAAACCCTCTAGAAGCCAGGACACTGGGTTAGCACTGGATCTGATACCATTCCTCTCAGTGGCCATCACTATCTTCCTAGCTTCTTTCTTCAGATATAAACCAAAGCAATCAAAAGTCATAGGCTCCATTCTGAGTCCTTTATACCTTATAAAAGTCATGTTTAAAGTCTGCTTATGTTCTAAGGAAATAACTACAATTAAAACCTCAAAGTAGCTCTGTCTTCCAGGAATAATCTGCTTGGAGGAATAATCTAAGAAAAATGAGATTATACAAAATCCCACTGTTTTGATCCTCAGAACCCTTTTTTAGTTATCAAGCTGCATATTAAACTGTTCTAGTATTTCAGCTCTATAAAACCTTTCATTTTTTTTTATGTTCAATGTACTCCTCTTCACAAACTGAGAGATGACAGACATGATACATAGCACACCCCTACCAGGGCTTCCCTAGCCAGCTGCTATGCTGTCTTCTACCTCACTGGCCTGGGTATCTGAAAATTACTACCTGTACAGGGTCCAAGTGATCATGAAGTGACAAAACATAGAGTTTTGCTACTTCACTTAAGTGCAAAGAGTCACAGAAAAAAGCCAGGAACATACAGTTTCCCATATTCTCTACCTAGGTTAACAGAAAAAGAATACAGATACTTCAGAAATCTATTCCTTAGGGTGCCTGTATAGCTACTTACTCAGAGCTGGCTCTTTCTGGCTCATCACCATCAGAGGAAGAGGAGTGGGAAGAGTCTGGTCCCAAAGGAGTTGAGGCTTTAGAAGTAAGGTAATTGGGAAACTGGGATGCAGAGGAATCATAAGAGATAGCCCAATTGGCAAAGGGGCTGTCCTGCAGCATGGAATCCTCAGAAAAACCATGGGATTCCCCCAAAGCATGGGGGGAGAAGAGAAGAGAGGAGTTGGGTCCCACTGGGAATGGTGGTGGATATTTCATTCTCTGGGGCACGTGGTGAGAAAACTAAAGGACGAAACAGACACAAAAGCTATTTATTTAACATTTTACCAGGCTCCAAGATGGTTCCCCCAAAGGTTGTGGCACAGTGGATGAGGCCAGTAGCTAGAATTGTTGGGATACAAAGAACATACTGAGAATCACAAGAAATAATTTTAACAGTGATGTATGGACAGAATCCCTTAAAGGCAGGACAATGGACCAATATATGTCTCCTAGAGTCATTCTTTCAATATTAGCTAATCTACATTCACGATGACCTAGTGGTTGCTGATTTGAATGTTTTCTTTAGAGTCTGCCAGCCTCAAGTTGAGAATATGACATAGGTATATATAACCTTGACATTCTGATAATACTGAATCACCTGAACTCCTTAACTCAGATTATAAAAATTGGGAAACAATCCTAGTCTAATGCTATCAAATGGTCTCAAGCTTCTTAAAAGATACTTACCATAGGCTTCCCAGCAGAGATAGTGCCCATTTGATTTCGTGGAATGGGAGGATTTCCAAGGCGATTATTTTGAAAACCTGAAGCAAAAAGAAAGGGATATCTCCTTTAGTCAATCCTAATAATTCTACCCTGCTACATTCTGGTAACCTCATATCACCTGAGAAATTATTATGAATATATGAGTTACAATTTATTGAACAGCTACTATGAGCTACACTAAGAACCTTACATAAATTATTTCCTCTGATAACAACTCTATTAAGGAAGTATCATGAGCTACATTTCATGTAAATGTGACTTGAAAAGATCACATAGTGAGTACATAACAGAGGTAGAACTCAAATTCAGGCCTGACCCCACAGATGGGACAATTTTACATATACCAGACCACAACAGAGATTAGCACCAGAAGAAGCCCAAGCTAAGGAAATGGCACTGGACCCCATCTAAAATTCAAGAAATGAAGGCCCTGTTTGATGTCACCTCTCTTATTACATGGAAATCAAAAGGCAAATGTCTATCAAATAGGAATAACTTCTAGGAGGGTGCAATACAAATAAGTGATTTCACTCTGTCCCAGGAGTTCTGAGAGACTCAGTTTCTTCTACATAAAGAGCAGCCTGGGGTCAGATAGAAGCCTTACCTAGAAAGGAGGAGGGCCCCACTGGCAGCGAAGAGAGTTTGGTTGTGACTGAATAGTACTCAACTGCTTTCTTGAATCGTTCTATTTTATCTTCTGTCCTGGACTGGATATAGGAATATCAGATGTTCAGAAGGAGAAATAACATGAGTGTGCCTTTTTCACGCAATTTTATAATTTCAGATTCAAAACAGTGGCAGAAATCAAATGTTTAAAAAACCCAAGAGAGCAATTTTTTATGCTGCAGAAAAGATTAGGTAGGGAAAGAGTATTAAAGAACATAAAAGCTCAAATACTTAAAGAAATTATTTAAAAACTCTACTCACATTTTGTGCTATTCTAAAATGCTCACATGATCATTAGAAAAAATAAATAAAGATAGGAGAAAAAAACTACACGGTATCATCACCCAAAGATATTTTGATGTGTTTCCTCCCACTGATTTTTTTTTTCCTCCCAATGATTTTTAAAATTCATTTTCTGGGGGTTGAAGTACAGTTAGTCTAAATTCGAACAAATTTTTGGCCAACCCAATATTTATTTTTTTCTATAATTGATACCATACTCTATGTACAATTTCAAGTCTTGCTTTGATTATACTACAAGATAATTTTGAATGGCTGAATATTTTATCATTGTAAGTGTATCATAAATTACTTAACTACTTCTCTAATACCCAACATCTCAGTTATTTCTCACATTTGGCTATTATAAATTACACAACAAAGAACATATATGTACATATAAGTTTTTCTGAATTTCAAATTATGTCCTTAGGAAAATGTCCCCAAAGTGGAATTACTGGTTCAAAAGGTATGAACATTACAACCAAAACCACTTAAACATACAGAAAATCCATAATGTGAAATCACTATTTATCCTCCAGAATGGTTAAAATTTAAGATTATAAATATCTAGCCCTGGCAAGGATATGAAGTGATTGGAAGTCCAATACACTGCTTGTAGGAATATATATTGGTAGAACTGAAAAACAGTTTGGGAGTTTCTTATTATGCTAAACATATATTTGCCATATGGCACAGCAATCCTACTCTTAAGTATTTATCCAGGAAAAATAAGTACATATGTCCACCAAAAATATAAACAAGAATACTAACAACAGCTTTATTTAAGAGCACCAAACTATAAATAATTCTATCAACAGAAGAATAAATTATGATATATATATATGATAAAAAAACTGTACAGTAATAAAGAACAAAGGACTGATACATGCAACAATATGGACTAATATCAGACATAATAATGACTGAAAGAAGAAACAGACAAAAGAGTACATACGCACAACTGCACTCATCTCACACGCTAGTAAAGTAATGCTAAAAATTCTCCAAGCCAGGCTTCAACAGTACATGAAGCATGAACTTCTAGATGTTCAAGCTGGATTTAGAAAAGGCAGAGGAACCAGAGATCAAATTGCCAACATCCGNGATGTTGAGAGTTGGACTATAAAGAAAGCTGAGCACCAAAGAATTGATGCTTTTGAACTGTGGTGTTGGAGAGGACTCTTGAGAGTCCCTTGGACTACAAGGAGATCCAACCAGTCTATCCTAAAGAAGACCAGTCCTGAGTGTTCATTGGAAGGACTGATGCTGAAACTGAAACTCCAATACTTTGGCCACCTAATGTGAAGAGCTGACTCATTTGAAAAGACCCTGATGCTGGGAAAGATTGAAGGCAGGAGGAGAAGGGGACAACAGAGGATGAGATGATTGGATGGCATCACTGCCTCAATGGACATGAGTTTGAGTACACTCCGGGAGTTGGCAATGGACAGGGAGGCCTGGCGTGCTGTAGTCCATGGGGTTGCAAAGAGTTGGAAATGACTGAGTGACTGAATTGACTGAACTGAAAGTCCAAGAAGTGAAACTTGGGCTTCCCAGGTGGCACTAGTGGTAAAGAACCTGCCTGCCAATGCAGGAAACATGAGACCTGGGTTCCATCCCTGGGTTGGGAAGATCTCCTGGAGGAGGGCATGGCAACCCACTCCAGTATTCTTGCCTGGAGAATCTGATGGACAGAGGAAACTGGCAGGCTAAAGTCCACAGGGTCACACAGAGTCAGACACTACTGAAGTGACTTAGCAAACATGCACAGAAGTGAAACTGACTTATGGCAACAGAAAATACCATTTATCTCTGTGGGCTTGGGGATGATTGGGAAGGAGGTTTTCCAATGTAAGTTTTAAATCCTCTAGAATATAATTTATGACCTTTATAAATTTCATCAAATAGAATGTAAGATATGAAAGTCATTTCTAATTAGAAATAATGTTCTAATAAGTATATTTTTACATGTTTCTTGGGTTATTTCATAGGAGACATTTTTAGAAGTGCAATTACTAGGTCAAAGGATATGGTCATTTTCATAGACTCTTGACACATGATACAAACCTCTTTCAGAAGCAGATGTCTCAAGTTATACTCTCATCATCAATGCATGTGTGCTAAGTAACTTCAGCTATGTCTGACTCTTTGGGACCCCATGGACTGTAGCCCACCAGGCTCCTCTATCCATGAGATTCTCCAGCAAGAATACTGGAATGGGTTTCCCTCCTCTCATCAATGCATAAGAGTATGCAATTTACCATATAGCTCCAGTGTTGAATATTTTCAACAAAAAATATCTCCTAACTGTAACACTTTATTTTCTGTAGGAAAAATAAAAGATATAATAAAAAAGGAAAAAAATCAAGCAGTTATAATCTTATCTCTCAGAGCTTGTAACTGTTAATACTCTAGGATCTACCAAGCATTCCAGATCTCTTTCATTTGCATGCATGCTGGCACACAAATGGCCTTCCTTGGTGGTTCAATTGGTAAAGAATCTGTCTGCAATGCAGGAGACCAGGGTTTAATCCCTGGGTCGGGAAGATTCCCTGGAGAAGGAAATGGCAACCCACTCCAATATTCTTGCCTGGATGGACAGAGGAGCCTGACGGGGCTACAGTCCATGGGGTCGCAAAGAGTTGGACACGACTAAGTGACTAAACTACCAGGCACACAAATAAAGATATTAAGATGTCCAGGTCATCTAGCTTCACTTTAGATACACAAGCCATACACAGAACCTTCCTTAATATCTCTACCTCTGTACCCTCATCCCTTCCCCAAAGTGACCAATGTAACCAGTTCGGTATGAGTCCTGTCATAACTTTCACTGTTTATACACACACACATATATATGTACATAAATACAGTTTTGTTGTTTTTTTCACATAAGTGGAATTGTATATTGTTTTTCAAATTGCCTTTTGCATTTAACAGTATGTCTTATAAACTATTATGCGTCAGTGAGTATACATCTGTGACCCAATACCCTGAAATACTGAATTACATGTATTTCCCTCAGTGTCCCACTCTTCTCTGTGCCCCAAAAGCTAAACATGTACTTTTCCTTCAAGGGGCACCAATTCTATGAAATCTTTCATTCTATGAAATCTTTCATTCTATGAAAACTTTATTGTTTTTTCCTTTGTTGTACTTTTTTATTTGCTTCAACCTTCCCTATTAACCTCAAGTTCTGTGAGGACAAAGAATGGTTTATTCATACTTACATTCTGTTAACATGGGACTTATCTATAGAAGTTAGTATTTTACATATGATCATTTTAATTAAGCCTTAGTCTTTTTGTTTTACATATTTATTTTTTAATTAATTAATTTTTGTGGCTGCACTGGTCTTCATTGCTGCACAGACATTCTCTAGTTGTGGAGCACAAGTTTCTCATTGTGGTGACTAATCTTGATGCAGAGTACAGGCTCTAGGGTGCAGGGGCTTCAGTAGTTGTGGCACATGGGCTTAGTTGCCCTGTGGTATGTGGAATCTTCCTGGACCAGGGATTGATCCCATGTCCCCTGCATTAGCAGGTGGATTCTTAATCACTGGACCACCATGGAAGCCCCTAACCTTTTCGTTAATAGATCCCCAGAGGCCACAAGTAGCAGAGTAGAAATTCATAATTTGATGCTGTTACCTAGCAGATTTTGTATGTTTGTTTAAAAGAGTTCTGATAACTCTATAACTGTTCAAAATATTTGTGAAAATTATATAGCAACAATGAAGAATGGTTTAAGACATAATGTTAAGTGGAAAAAGCAAGTTAAAGATGACTACACTGAGATGACTAGCACATAAAACATATAAAGAGGACTAGGAAATACTGTAAAGCATTTAGGATAGAATTAGAAGCAAAGTCACTATTAAACAATTTTGTTTTGTTTAGTCAAAGGGGGATTCTTGTAATTAAGCTACAAAGGCAAGCAAAAGCTATAACATTAAAAATATTCAACACTCAACTGAGCATGTACAAAATTTTTCCTCCATCTACAAACAATGGAGTATTGTTGTTGTTGTTAAGTCTCTAAGTTATGCACCCATGGACTGTAGCGTGCCAGATTCCTCTGTCATCTACGAATCTCCGGGAGTTTGCTCAAATTTATGTCCACTGAGTTGCTGATGCTATCTAACCATCTCATCCTCTGCCACTTCCGTCTCCTTTTGTCTTCAATCTTTCCCAGCATCAAGGTCTTTTCCAATGAGTCATCTCTTTGTATCAGGTTTCAGCAACACTCCTTCCAATGAATAATCAGGGTTGATTTCCTTTTGGATTGACAGGTTTGATCTCCTTGCAGTCCAAGGGACTCTCAAGAGTATTCTCCAATACCACAATTCAAAAGCATCAATTCTTTGGTACTCAGCTTTATTTGTGGTCCAACTCTCATATCCATATATGACTGTTGGAAACATAGCTTTGACTATACAGACCTTTGTCTACAAAGTGATGCCTCTCCTTTTTAATTTGCTATATAGGTTGGTCATAACTTCCCTTCCAAGGAGGAAGCATCTTTTAATTTCATGGCTGCAATCACTGTCCATAGTGATTTTGGAGCCCAAGAAAATAAAATCTGTCACTGCTTCCACTTTTCCCCCTTCTATTTGCCATGAACTGATGGGACCAGATACCATGATCTTAGTTCTTTAATGTTGAGTTTCAAGCCAGTTCTTTCATTCTCCTCTTTCACCCTCATCAAGAGGTTCTTCAGTTCCTCTTCACTTTTTGACACTGGAGTGGTATCATCTGTG